ACAGATCATGCACTGTTGAGATGGTTAATGACATTAAATGATCCATCCTCTACATTACAGAAATGGTTATTATTGTCACAGGCTTATGATTTTGAAGTAGTACAGAGACCAGGCAGAAAGCATTCTAATGTTGGTACGCTAAGCAGGATTAGAGTAGGAAATACAGAAACAACAGACGATTAACAAAACAAAGGAAAATGAGGTGGAGTTAGAAATAATTTGGGATTTTGATCATGTGATTGATGAAGAAACGAAAGATGAGCTGGTAAATACCTTACGAAACAGAGTATTCCAGAGAAAAGAGATATTTTGTGTAAAACAAATGGATAATGACAGAATGCTGCAGATAGTTACACCATAGTTTAGAAACTAAAGTTATGAAACTTATCATGACACCCCATTCACAGCACATTTACCTTTTGCAAAAACATAATGTAGAATGAGTAAAAGGTTTTGGCTAAATATGAGAAAAGATATTAATGATTATTGTGATTCATGCATAGAGTGTCAGAAACGGAAAACAAGCCCACACTTTAGGAATGCTCCCTTGCAGAGAATGCCGAGTTTAACTATGCCTTTTCAGTTAATAGGTATGAGAAAGTTTATATTAACTTCATTAAAGACTGGACACGAATTCCATAAAAAGAATTAGCAAGGAAATCAGAGACTCTTGGTGGAATTTTGATCTGAAGAGGACGAGGAGAAATACATCTTCGACCATAACCAATTGCTGAAGTATCTTTGTTTTTAGTTCCCAGAATTATAGTGGGCCTGCTGCCCGTTTTCCCACTGAAATCTTTAAAGTATCCTGCCTCTTCAGAAAAGGCCAAACGACCTGCTCCTGATTTTTCCACAACCGACTATGCTAAAGACAGGAATTTTGATGCTAATGTGTCCTCTACAAGGTCTGAATAATATTTCTCGCTCAAGCTCCATGAAAGTTACTACTGCTACTCTCTTAAGTCAAATAACATAGTTAGGAATTTGATGTAAAATGTATAATGTTAAGTAGAATTCATTAAATAATCTATAAGCATATTTCAAATAATGTTCTAATTGATAAATTGTTGGTTATAGTGAGTAACTTGATGTAAATTTTAGAAGGTTTAATTAAAGAAAGTTTGATTGCTCAGAACAAAATATTTGATTATTTTGATAGAAAAGCTTCCCGAGATGCACTTGATAATGTTAATGTTAACAAATATTTGAGTATATTGTATTAAAGATTCAAGGTGATTTCTAAATCTCAGTCTCTGGGTCAGTTCTTTAGTCTAATTGTAAATTCCTTGAGCTAGTGACTGTAAACCTGGATTTAAATAAATCTATTGTGAACTGGAATAAGTCAAACACCAAATGAGTAGCCTACATGGCATACAACTTTCCCACTCCACGGAAACCATCTTAATATATTGTTTCCAACACACCCACTGCCTTGCAGCAACATGTTTATCCTATGCAAAATGCATCTATCCAATAACCGTATAATCACTATATTAACTCTATATTTCACCAGTTACCAAACCCGACATCACATAGACGCAAAATGTAATAAACACATCCAAATATAACAATTATTGGTGATCGAAACTCCAAACACACGGACTTCCACTGTAAAACTACAAATACCAATGGTAGAATTGTATAAAAATTAGCCAAAGATACTAAGTGACGGGTCAGCACTACGAGCTGAACCCCCCCCATATCTAAATAGTGTAACAGTAACTTCAAGAAAGCTAAAAACTGAAAACACACAAACAAATTTGCATAAAATGTCAACAGAGAAAATTTATGAAGCCTTAACCCCAAAGGTCCAGCTGAAAATAGTATCACTATACCCAACTATTAATTGGAAAATAGCTGGATAACAACAACTGGTAAAATAGAATCAAAATGATGAGACCTAAACTATAAAATATCTCACAACATAATCAGTACAAGAGAAAGGTTGCATAGATGAAAGATAGTTAAAACAAACAAATGCCTGTACTGCCAGCTTATAGAAACAACTAAACATGCCTATGTAAAAGTATACTGGAAAAAGTTGTCAGATATTTTCAGAGTCAGTATGGTAGATTACACTACTGTTCTGTTTAACACTCCTATACCACTTAAACTCTCACATAAATTTTCTTTTCTATTTCTTGTGAGTGAATTTAAATATCAGATCTGTTCCTCGATATGTAAAGCTGTATATGAAGATGTAAGAGAAAGTGTTTCGGAGGTGATAAAAAGAATGAAAACAAACGCCAGGCTAAAGATAAAGTTAGACTATTAAAATCTAACAGAAAAAGACTTCAAGTAGATATGCACCCCGGAAGGATCAAGACTTTTCCAGCAGAAAGGCAGATTCATAGATCTTAAATTTTAACATCAAAAAAGTTCACCATTTCGGGTCAAATAACTGTTGCTGGCTTCAAGTGTTAAACGGAAGAGATGACTGCGGTAGACAGGCCAATGTTGGTGATGAAAGTCTGGTCAGTGATAGTGTTTGTATATTTGGTCTGCATAGGTGCTGGGACAAATGGCTCATGAACCGTAAAGTCAGTGACTTTGACTATGCAGGCCAAGTTGTGTTTTGTTTTATTTGCATATTGAACTAAGCACTTATGAACAAACCTTAACGACCATATGATGAATTGTTTTAAATTTTTGGAGAATAAATATTTGTTCAGTTACATGTTTAAATCACCTTAAAACATTTATGAAAAACATTATGGACAAATAAACAATAACTGGCGACTTAGATTAAAGAAAGTTTGTAGTCTGCCACTAATGAACAGTCCAAAGATAACCGAGGTAAGAGCAAGTTATCTTATATAAAGCTTCTTAAGACTTTTCACTTACCCCCAAAATCTAGCATTCACAACTTATGAATAAATTACCTTATGGGTTTTACAATTGTATTGTGACTATCTTGTAAGTTGTACTATTTCACATTCTGTAGCTCAGTTTTAATGATTCATATAGAGAGGTATCAGCTATATTTTGGGTGATAAGAGCAAAGCAGTATTTTAATAATGGAAATGTCTATGCAAGATTGCAGTATATCGAGCCATTCTCTTCACTCACTAGAAAAATACAGTTTAATTCACCCATGTTAAATATTTTCCTTGTAGAGCACAATTCACATTAAGCAGCTTATATGGGTGGTTTAACATGACTTTTTATTGTTTTCCTTATTGAAGCCCCCCAGTGTCTGCGGACTTACAATGCTAGAATCCGGGTTTCGATACTCGTGGTGGGTAGAGCACAGATAGCCCATTGTGTAGCTTTGTGCTTAACTACAAACAAACAATCCTTATTGAAAATTGCAAGTTTTTTCTGTAAGGTATATGGATGTACCTACCTTGAATTGTGCAAAGTTTGTATGCGAAAGGTTTGAATTTAAGCCTATTAAGCCAAGTTAAGCATTTTCTACATTAAGCGTCGGAATGTTAAATGAGTGACTTAATGTAATTTTCTTTACTGAAAATGCCCAGTTTTTTCCAACTGTTAAGCTTTCTCCTCAAAAGGTTATATGGGAAGCTTTACATGACTTTTTAATGTTTTCTTTACTGAAAATGTCCAGTTTTTCTGTGAAAGGTTTGAATACAAGCATATTAAGCAAAATTAAGCATTTTAAATTGTCCACAGTTGAGGAATATGCACCCTCCACATTTGTTATTGCTGGCACACAGAAATCATAATCATTAGCTGCAATTCCCTATTATGTTTGCTTGGTTGTCAAGAAAACACACTGATGCAACATCACTGAATTTTGTCCAGTCAGAACCCTCAGCTACAACTCTATAATATAATAACCCATGTTTTGTCCGCAGCTTATTTCAATTTTGAAAATGCAAATATTAAAGTTTGCTTCTTCAGCTAAGCAGGCTAACAAAGCCAAAACCAGGAAGACAGTCCAAAGAGAAGACCCCAAAATTCATAATAAAATTCACTGCCTTTACCATTATAATCTATGATTTGCAGGGTCATATAGTTTATCAAGTAGTAACATGTCTCCGAGAATCAGTTTTTGCATGTTTCAATCTATAAGAACATTTGAACATAATTTGAAAATATACAGAAGTCAAAATGCTAATCAAGCAATAAATTAAAGGAGATGATCAAATATACAGTAAAAATGTTATCACGAAATTTTGCCAGTCATTCTTTCACATCTCTAAAGATAATTAAAATGATAGTTATGTTTACAATGGGCTACTGTATATAATACGTAAATTAAATGTTTGCACATTATCAGTTGATCGTGTATAATTAAAAATTTAATAATATTTAGTTCTTCAAAATAATTTAACATTGCTAATAAAAAATGGAGATGTTCATAACAGACTGCAAGTTTACGAGTACTTTTACTCCCACCTATCTAAATCTTTTAATACTCAGTCTGCAAGTTGATGAGACTAAATTCAAGAGATTTAATTGGTTACAGAGTGATGTCACAGTCTGCAATATGTAACTTAGAACGAAAGAAAAATGTACTCTGATAGAAGGCCAATCTGTTAACCTCAAAAACCTATACTTTACTGACAAAAAAGCTCACCTCTCAATAACATTTGGCAACAAAGACACAGAGTTTAGGGTGTTGCCCAGGCTACATTGCTCTTACACACAAAATAGAAGTGTTTATGGTCAGGCAGGTATTGCACTTAGCCACCTCACCATAAGCTTTGTTGATTCTTCCTCAAACATTTCAACAAAAAAGTGAAAATGGCTTTATAGAGCTGAGGAACTAGAATTTATATTGCACAATATGTGCAACCACTACTGTGTTTTGTGTGAACTTCTACATGAGAGGTACGGGTTTTACTCCTCCACAGCCTGAAAAAACTAATGTAAATTTGGTCCTGCTAGATTACTCATACACTGGGTGTTAACCACTCAGGCAAGCTAATTAATATTTCATTGTAATAGTTTTTTTTACCAAAAACAAGGCTAGAAACAATATTAAAACATATGTAAACATACATGTAACATAATACAACTTGTGCATTCTTTTACTTTCTACTGTTAAAAATACAGGAGTAGACATGTGTATAAATGAGAATAAGAAAGTACAACATACAGTAGACAGAAAGAACTTAAAGTGACCTATGATTTTTCCTAAATAAAACATGACTCGTACATTTATTTTGTACACAATTTCTTCCCAAATAAAAGTAGCTTAGTCTCTTTTAATCACATGATTTTCTTTATATTACTGAACATATAGAAAACTTTAGCTAGTATCTGGTTTTAATTTGGTTTACCTGCATGTATAGAGTACTTCTTATGTTTCATCAACTGTTTCAAAGACTGCACAGATTTTTCTACATCAGATGTCCATCAAACTGCAAGTTGAATATTCATAACCCTATCTTTACTTTCAGTTTCAAACCAAAATACTATTTACATGAGTACCTATTTCTTTTATACCAACCATAGAACAGAAACTAGATAAAAAAAGCAATACCTGTACAAGTATTACTTTAAGGAATTCAATAGTACAAACCTCCAACACAACCCTGATTAGCTGCAGTTACATATTCTTTCTTGTTTATTCACTCTTCTGTCGACTTCCAGCACTGCAGGTCAGCGGCTAGACAGCAACATCAAATAGAAAGAGAGTGGCTTGTTACTCAAGACCCAATAATTCCACATCAAAAATCAGAGTTACATTATGTGGGATAGTGTAAACAGTTAAGAAAATTTAATTCTTTGAAACATGTAATTATTAGCTCACAAGATATATTTCTACAATTCTGAAAAAAAACAAACTTAAAATCAAAGAAATGGGTTTTCTCAATTCTCAGAAACTCCTAAAGAGCTATTTTTTTTCACATTTTCTTTTTATATGCTTGCTGATATTACTTGTTATGCAAAAGTTTTGTTAATCCATAATATTTTGTAACTAAACAATCAATATAACTTGTGGGTGTATTAAAAGGATATGTTCCTGGATGACCAATATCTCCATAAGCAAAATCAGGAGAACACTAATTTTGTATGCTGGCCAACACTCATCTATATTATAAAGTGAATAAAACATTTAAGAAAAAAATGCTGATATTCAGTTTCCCCTAAAAGATTTTTTTAATACTTTCTTTACTTATCTTAAAGTGATTCTATGTTATCTTTAATTATCTTCTATGATAATGCCAGTACACTTTTTTTTGCCATTAATTATACCATAATGTGCATTTAAAATTTATGAAAAAACAGAATATCAGAAATTAATGATGAAAATACTTGTATTACTTATAATTAATTTCCATCATTTGAAGCTCTTCAAATGCCTTTTAGTTAAATATAATTTCACTATATTTTATTCTGTCTTAGAATTTTTTTAAACAATCTTTAGTACCATTCAACATATAAACAGATACAGAAAAAACTGCAATATTGTTTGTAATCTAAGGAACCGCTGTTTTGACATTTAAAGCTTTAGTATCAAATTATAAACTAAGAATTTGTATCATTATAATGTAAAAGTATCTGGCTCACAAAACAAAAAATAATATTGTAACAGAGATAAATAAACTTCAGGTTAAATTTCACCAGTTCAAAATAGTAAACACTTACCTGAGCCACTCCATGATCCCAGTCTTTGATAACTTCACCCTTGCCTATTTTAAACTAAAATTGTTTACCCCTGTCACAGGATGAATCAAACTTCTCACCCTTAGAAAGAGAACCTAGAAAACACAATTATTCACTAATTTCTCTCTGTATAGCACTACGAGTAAGGTTTGTAAATTCTTAATCACACATCCTTAAATATTTATAATAATCCATCTCCTAAATAAACAAATAAAAAAAGAGGTTTTAAGTTCACTAGCTACATCATAAGAAAATGAACAACTTCTAATCCAACATCATATTTCTCACACTGTAATCCAGAAAGACCCAACAGAACTTTATCTGACAATTCAAGTAAAGGAAGAAAAAAACTGTATCAGATACAAAGATGTGGTTTCCACGTTTTTATATTCTTGTTTGTAAAACACTTTTAAACACTGACACAACCAAATGTAAGTTAGGAAAAACAGGTTCTACAACAACAAAATATGACAGGTTTTCAAACAGTGAGGGTAAACCTGGAGGATTAGAAATGATTGGAATACAAATGTGTAATCACAGGTGAAAGAGAAGAAACAAAAGACATTTTTGATTTTACAAGAACAAATATTAGTTTGTCTGTAAATATTAAGCTTGAGAGAATACAGAAGAGTTATCCTCCATACAATCTTAGCTTAATAGACATGCCCTATTATTTTAAAGTAAAGCATCATACTGTTGCGTCATCAAGATCACGTGACTATTGTCACGCCCTCTAGTTTCTAGAACTATCTTGTT